AGTGGGTAGGAGGAGTGGAGCCCAGCTGTCATCGGTGGGCGGGGCTTGACCAAAGTGGGCGGAGTTTGCGACGAAAATTCATAACTCGGCTCCAAGAAGTCCCGGAGGCACGGAAAAAGGTGGGTAGAGGTGGGTGGAGGAGTGGAGCTTAAATACCATTAGTGGGCGGAGCATGTTCAAAGTGGGCGGAGTTATCACGAAAATTCATAACTCGATTCCAAGAAGCCCGGGAGACCGGGAAAAAGGTGCATGGGGGTGGTTGAAGTAGTAGAGCTAGAATATTATTGGTGGGCGGAGCAAGTCCTAGGTGGGCGGAGTTACCCAGGAAAATTCATAACTTGGTTCCAAGAAGTCCTGGAGAACGGGAAAAAAGTGGATATAGGTCAGCAAAGAAAGAGAAGTTAACTGCTACGGGTTGGGTGGAGCATGCGCTAATGTGGGCGGAGTTTGCGCCGAAATTGTAAATTCGGCTCCAAGAAGTCCCGGAGGCAAAAAAAAGGATGGAGGTGGGTGGAGGAGTGGAGCCCAGCTATCACCGGTGAGCGGGGCTTGACCAAAGTGGGCGGAGTTTGCGACGAAAATTTCATAACTCGGCTCCAAGAAGTCCTAGAGATAGGGAAAACGGGGTTAGAGGTTGGCGAGGGAAAAGAGATCAGCTGCTTCCAAGAGGTCCCAGAGACCGGTGAAAAAAGGGGTAGAGGTCGGCGAAAGGAAGGGGGCCAAATGCTATTGGTGGGCGGAGGCGCCGAAGTAGTAGGAGTTTACCACGAGAACGATTTTTATTGTCCGGAAGCAGTCCGGACCGGGAAAAGAGAATAATGGTTGACGAAGAAAAAGAGGTTGAAAGCCGTCGATGATGGAGCGGATAGAATTTAGCTGAGAATTCAGATATTCGTGGTGTATCAAGCCAAATTTGAAAATTTTCGTCGCACCATCAAAATTCGCCGCAGATCTGTGTTGCGCGCGCAATGCGTGCGGCGCCAACTGGTAAAAAATATTTCCTCACCGGTGTAGCGCACTGTTTCACTGTTGTCTACACAAACTCGGTGCCCTCTTCTTCTCCCGCCACTTTCTCCATTACTCTCTCTCTCTGGTAAGTTTTGGAACGTGAAAAAATTAAACGAGAGGTAGTGTGGACGTTAGGGCGGCTGTCACCGATTCGAGAAATCCACAAGGAAAAATGTGAGAAACTACGACTTTTGCGAAGACTGCCACAAGACTGCCGACACCTCTGATTGATGCCACAGGGTGGTTGCATTTTCCTGCACGATCAGTGTGTGGTACAGTCGACTGGCCAGCATATACACTACCACACCTAGGAGACACATCTTGGATAAGGAGCTTGCCAGACACGGAACCGTGTGTATGAGTTCTACGCTTTACTGGGGTGGCCTCTAAATTGGAAGGGAATAAGAAAACACCACGATAGTCGTAGTCACTGTAGCAAAATGCTCGCCTTTGCAGTTCTCCTTACTGGCCACGCGGATATTGAAAAAAATCCCCGCATACGCTAGAAAAAGGGATGACAAGGGTGAGACGCGCAACCGCGTCTCAATGTCCAACGAGGTGCGCAAAGTGAGACGCGTTACCGCGTCTCAATGTCGTCAATGTGTTATGATTTATCCTTTCGGAGGAACCTGGCATCAACTAAACAATCGAAAGGTTAAAGGGGGAAGCTAGCCTGGGCAGAACTTAAGTTAAAGTTTAATTTGACCCTACTTGCTGCTACTCCTCACTGTGCACCAAAATTCCATTTTGAATTTTTCGCTTCAGAACTGGAGCGCCACGCATAGATGGGGCCATTCCGGAAGTTCGTCTGTGGAACAGCGTAATAAAATTGAGTTCCTAAAGCAGTGAGGAGATAAGAGGTAGAAGAACTGTTTTGAGTAAGTTGTATAGCTTCCAATGTCGCCCGTGTCGATTTTCGAACTTTGCGGCTGTCTCCCGTTCTTCAAGTCTTGCTAGTCCCTTCTTTCCGCACATGGCAGAGCATTTCAAAAAGATCTGAATCTTAAAAAAAATGGAGAGCGCTGCTGTATAGTACATTGTGCTGTCGCGCTCTCTCGATCGGCAGGCGCAGGGTCAACTGCGCGTTGCGCAATGAACAACAACGGGATCGTATTTGGTCAATGGGAGGAGGGGGTGCCGTAACTACAAGTACCAATTACATTTGAAGGTGTCAAAGCATCGCTAAGTGGCATAGGGGAGCAGGTTCTCAAATACCACTGCGACT